ACCCCCCCCCCCCCAAAAAAAACCAGCAGACAACAGCCAGATTTCAGCATTATATTAGTGACTAGGCTATTGCTTGAGAACTAGTCAGCTTTTGCAACCTTATCCGCTATCTACTTTGGCCATAACCATCTGTCACTTTAACACAACAGTACCAACAGCTACGCCTCAATCTCAAGCTAGTTCCATCTGTCACTGCAATTGCAGCCAGAAATCAGCTTGTGTACTTGTATCTTTATCCAAATCCAAGTTCTTCACTATGATAATGTGTCGTGAACTTCAGATCCACTGTCTTATGCTTTCCTTGCTTTAATAAATAAATTAGCAAACTAATGCAAAGCTTAGACTCAGAAGAGAAAATGCATGATCTTGGAAAATATTCTTTTTAAACAGATTTAACATTTCTTCTTGTTGCCCTTCCTGAGCCGAGGGTCTATTGGAAACAACCTCTCTACGTGCATTAGGTAGGGGTAAGGCCTGCGTACAGACTACCCTCCCCAGACCCTACTTGTTGGGATCAAACTGGGTTTGTTGTTGTTGTTGTAAACAGATTTAACATACTGGGTGGACAAGAAAGATCTCTTTAACAGGGTGGCAAAAGTAGATTTCTGCCATGACGCTACTCAGGCACACATATTCTTATAATTATAGACGCAAAGAAGATGCAAAACATAACTCGATTTTTAGGCAATGATAAAGAAACTAAATAACTTTTAGAAGCAGGTCAAGGAGGCTTGTCTTTATTAGTTTGAAACTCAAAAAAGATGTTTTCCTCCGCTACGTCATATGAAATGGAAGATATTTAACATCAACTGCGTGCAATTGATATCATAGTGTGTGTGTTCTGTTTAGAATTCTAATGCCCGGTATCTCTTTAGTCAATATTAGCAGCTGCCATTTGTGCAACAGTACAAGTTGGTACCACAACTGATTAGGTTACTACCATACAACATCAACAACTACGCCTCAGTCCCAAACAAAGTTGGAGTCCGCGGTATGAATCCTCACTTCTTTCGGTAAGCCCAACTCATATCATCATCACGCCAAAATAAAATAAGAACGCAGTGAAAATAAGTTTATATATATATATATATATATTAAAAGTTCTATAACAAAATTTAAAGCAAATTCCTAACTAGTAAGTATCACCTATATGGATCTTTTTCTTCCGTTGTGCCACATATTCAGTTAAATCTGCATTGATTCCAAGAATTTGTAGGTCTTTCGAGGCAACTACCTTCCATGTAATTTTAGGTCAACCTCATCCCCTTATAACACCTTCACTCACCATATTTTCACATCTACGGACCGGTGCATCTGTAGTGTGATGCAAGATATGACCAAACCATCTCAAGCGACCTTTTCTCAATTTACCCTCATTGCGTGCTATTTGGCAAATGTGGTCATTTTTAATCTTATCTAATCTTGTATGACCGCACATCTATCTTATGGATATGTTGGAATTTTGTAGCCCAACATTCACTATCATATAACATTGTCGGTCTTATAAATATTCTATAGAACTTCCCTTTCACTTTGGTAGGCATCCTTCTATCACATAACACCTTAATAGGTTACTACCATACTGTGCTTTTTTTAGGGTTGGTCACAACTAACGCTGGCAGGTGGGCCGGTTAGGCCCGGGACCGGCCCAGGCCCGCGAGACCAAACGGGTAGTGGGCCTAGACGGGCCTAACCGTTTAGGACCGGGACCGGGTGGGGGTGGGCTTTCAGGTGGGCCGGTCTTTTTACTAAGACCGTTTGGGCCCGGGACCGTTTGGGCCCGGGACCGACTACTAAGTGGGCCGGTTCAACCGGTCCTAAATGGGCCCAACGGCAAATTTTATTCCAAAAATTTTTAACCCGTTAGAAAAGTGAAAAAAATGGCCGTTGGCCTGCAAATATAGCCGTTTTTTATTTCTAAAATAACCATTTAACCCCCCACCCCACCCCCCAACAACTTTGTTTTAACCCCAAACTTTTCATAATTACACTTTTTCCCTATTTTCAACTATAAATACCCCCTCATTCTTTCATTTTTCTCACAAAATCATCAATCTCTTAATCTCTCTCTCTAATTTTCTTCTATAATTGCTTACTTTATTGTTGCAATTTGTAAAAAATTGTGAAGTTGGTGAATTGAAGTATTCAAGTCTTCAACGATATATAATTTTTAATAAGTTGTTCGTCAATTCGGCAAACTCGTTCCAACTCTTAAGTTTTAATATTATAGTTTTGTTTTGTTTTATTTATTTTTGTATTGTTTGATTAATTAAGATGGATATTTCGCTAAAAAAAATGTTTAGTAAAAATAAGGGAAAATCCAAGAGTGGTGAATCTAGTGGCCAATCTATTCCTTCTCCAATTCCCCGGGCTCCCCTACCCAAACCCTATACCCGCCCTCCACCTGCTCCTATTCTTGATAGTGATAATACTTTATTACAATTTACTGAGAGTCAATATTTGCATAATGTTGGAGGTGGTGAACACTTAAACCATGAATATATGAATGCTCTTTATGGTAATCCAACTATTAATGAGGATAATGAGAAGGAAATAGATTTGGATGAAACACAACCAGATGACAATACACCCACTAGTCATGTTGCTAAAGTTAACCCAACTAATCCAAATGATGCCCCGTCTAACCCCCCTGTTACTACCCCTACTTTTTCTAGACAACCTTCTAAACAGGGCGAAATATCTCTTGTTTTGCCGTTTTTTATTCAAATAAAAGAAAAAAATAAAGCTAAGTTTAAAACTTGTGGCAAAGAGTTAGC